TTTTTTAATTTTTTGTAGTGCATAATCATAGTTAATAACAAACATAGAATAATGGTTGCATACCTTCTTGAATCCTGTCCTATCTAAATCCGAAGCAACCAAAAGAGGCCTTAGTTTGTTTGTGTTTTTGTTATTTATTAGGACTTTTTTCAATACAACGTAAACTATCAAATCGGGCATGAAATATTTTTCTTTTCTCAATAATTCAGGATCTAAATATCGTAAAATCTCAAGGAAGAATTTAAAATTAGTCCCACAGGTATATGGGTGAAAATTTGGTCCCAACGGTATGCAGAAAATATGAATAGTCCCACAATTTTTAAAAAATGATCAAAAGTAGGATTTTTTTTGCCGGATTTACTACTTCCAGCCTGGAACGCCACGTCGTGCACACATGCCTTATTTTTTTACATGCTGGCGTCCGACGTAGATAGGAAAAAATTCAAAACTAGTCCCACAGGTATAGGGGTGACATTTTTTGTCCCGACGAAATGCAGAAAATATGATAATTTATAACATTTAGGTCTTGAATTGAGGAAAAAAAAAAATCAAACTTGGATTTATAGGAATTGACGTATATTTAATATGAGAGCCACAAAAATAATAGTTAAAAAGTTAAAACTAGGTTGATAGATACATAAGGCAGATAAAAAATACAAGTCCTATCAAAACTATATCATTTTATTTTATCAATTAAATCTGTTGAATAAAAGAAGTTGCCCGTTATTTTAATATCAAATATTCAAATATATTATAATGGCTAGTCTACTTTCTTAAGCAAACAATCTCAGCAAGAAGAAATATATAGCAGCTTTAATAATAGGAAACGAATTAGAGTTTCTTCAAATTGTATCATTGGTCAACTCGAAGACTATCACAATTCACTCATGGTAACTGTTCTATTTAAATTTAGCAACTTCATCTCTAATTTATTTATAATAATTTGGGGATGGCTCATTAGTTAATTAACTAATTAATTAACATATTAGACGGTTGACATTTATTTTGAAGTTTGGTCATATGATGTGATGGTCAATTGGAGCGAACAATTAGTCTATGTAATTATAAATTCTTGATCCATATGTAATGAGGGAAAAGAATAATATTAATTGTATCACAAGGTGTCGTGGTGTAGTTGGTTATCACGTCAGTCTAACACACTGAAGGTCTCCGGTTCGAGTCCGGGCGACGCCATTTTGAAATCTCTTTTTTGCTTCATTTTTCTATTTGCCTTTTTCAGTCATTCCTTACAGCGCGCCTACGACGTCGTATTTGTTCCTTCGTGGTTCTTACGTTATCCCGGCCTTTACGCGCGAACAACACGTAGCAGACCCGCGGCTAGTAAGACACGTCACTAAACCATCGTGTCCAATGAAATCCACCCACGGCAGTCCCCAGCATCACTATCTCGATTCCCATTGGTCCAATTTCTCCACGTCATCAACTTCCGGTCTCTGGTGCACATACGCCAACATTTGTTTCGTGTGTGGTTAATATACAT